ATTCATAAAATAATAAAGTAAATTTGAAATATCACAGTGATATCTGATCGGCCTAATTTTGTGTAACGTGTCTGTACTAGACTTTATGTGCCAGCTATACAAAAGTTTTGGCAATATAACAAAATTTATATGTAACTTTGACTTCAGAAATTTATGTAATTTCAAACACTTTATATAAAAGATATATATAAGATATATATAAAATATATATGTTAAATATAATATCTGATCTACAAATAATTTATCATTATAAATATCGACACGTTAAATGTTATTAAATTTATTTAGTTTGTGTGAAAACTTATGGAAAAGCTAAATATCGACAAGAATATAAAAAGGCTCCATATAAAATAAACTTTTATAATAAATATATTACACGAGTAGTTAAATGATATTAAGAAAGTTAGATATGGTCAAAAATTTGTCGACCGGTTTAAGGATGTGACTCAAGATTCCGCTCAAAAAACCTTGATTTTATTAGTATTTGTCGCAGAAGTTTTTCAATACATCCATATCTTCGAAAGTACTTGAGAACTCGATTTATAAAAGACAACCTAACATCTAAGAGTTTGCAATTTTCGAAACGATAAGCTTTCTAATTTTTTTCAATTATTCGCCAGCGAAGATGCTTTGAGAGTATCATGTTTCTGTATTTGACCTGAGATATTCGTGTCAATATAATATTTATACGTATTAGTCACTTGATCTTAATTACACGTATCAATTTATAGAATCTATTATGCCGAAATCATAAACTTAACCGAATCGGCCGAAAAATCATTCGGCTAATTTTTATCAAGTGTTTCAGGAATTATGATAATAGCTGTAAGACTATATGAAGGCTCAAATTAAATCAATTACATGCAAATATTGTTAGCTTAATCGAATCGGTGAATCTTTCGGCCAATTTTTATCAGGTGTTTCAGGAATTATGAAAATAACTGTAACTTTAAAAACTTTATGAATTTCTTTTTGACCCGCTACTTTTGTGGTTATTTATACGGCATACGACATTTATACGGCATACGGCATTTATACGGCATGCGACACTTCTACTTATACGGTAAATGTGCCGTATCGCCGTAATTTTTTTGGCGGGGTAGTTACCCTCAAGATTTTAAATGTCTGCATCATGTAACGGTAATTATTGTGGCAATACTGGGGAAGATTCTTTGCTAGGAAAATCAAGTCACGAGACATAATAAATCATATGTTGATTTCCTGGAAAAGATTCCATACCCAATTTATACATTATAACAAACAACACGGATCAATCCGGAGAATCCAAAAATGTTTGAAGCACTGCTCAAACCTTAATCTAAAACCGACGCTAACCATAAATTTAAGTGCATAAATGAAATTGTATAACCGCACTTGTTCTCTTAATACAGTAATATGTAAACAAAAGACTCTGCCTTTCGAGATTGCATATCCAGAAAAGACTTCATATAGTTGAAAAGAAATTGCTACCAACTACGGTTGCTATTCATTAGAGTAGGATAACTTCAATTCATCATCACCATCACAAATACGTATATAATATATGAGTGTCGCTAAAAGAAAACCCGAAAATTTAAATGTTTTCTTTTAGCGACACTCATATACGTATTTTTAATTATATATTTAATTATATATTTATTTACAGCTGCGTATAGTATCTGATAAACAACTTCACATGGAATGCATGGTGTAGTTTTTTTGAATGTCACATCATTTACTATAAGGGGCTTTGACATATGATTATCCAAAATAAATTAAAGTATGCATATATTTACAAAAAATCTAACGTTAAGCTAGAATTCACAAAAAACGTTCGAAATACAAAATCAAGGAGAGAAAAGACTATAAAGTCAAAGTTTTCCTTGATCAATTTATGTTAACAATGCCACCTTTTAGAACCACTCGGAATATTCAACTTGTAGTTTGGGTGGTGATTCTGATTGTTGCCTGTTATGTCATAATAGTGGTCGAAGCGTCTCCTGAGCATAATTCACCAGGAGTTTGCAATCAAACTATTAACGAAGCTAATGTACGAACAGAAAGTGGTGACTCAAGAATTCGCAAAGACGATAATCTTACCGAAGAACAACAAACGAATGAATTGCAGGAACTTATTCGCGGCATATTATATACTGCATTTCTCGTTGTCAAGTTTATTTTCACTTCGATATTCACAATAATTTATCAAGTTCTAAGGCCACTCATTTATATAATTAATCAAGTTTACTATACATTCTTCGTCGTACCATTCAGATTTATAAAGTTAGCATTTATTACTGTTTACCCAGTGTTTACATTTTTGACAGTTGCAGCATTAATTGGGCTTTGTTTTGGAGGCACAGCGGGATGGATTTCTGAAGTTATTGTAGGAGTGTTGACTACTCCTATTAATGATGAACCAATAACAAACGAAGTTGAAAATAAGAAACGCGCAGCAAAAATAAAGAAACGCGCAGCCGCTCTGGCACATTTGAAGGCCAGAAATGGTGGAAAAATTCCAGAAGAATATTATGGTCGATTTGTGGCCAACGGTCGTCCAGGTGTGAGGAGGAAGGGATCTAACATATCTAACATGTCTAGCAGGATAGAAAGTTATGAGAGAGGTGAACATGAGAATAGTTATAAGGGATATTCTAGTGCTGGAGTAGGTGATTGATTAACGTAACAGAGAATTTGGATCCCTTCAATTTAGAGCAAAATGCAATTTTCTTGTAAACATTTTTTTTTATTATTTTTGTTTTCACCAACACAATATTATACATAATTTCATAAAATTTAATAACAATCAAATTCATGAAACACCAGTCTCAATCAGATATGAGCTTGTTTTTATCTGAATCAATTTTGAATACTTTTGTCAGTGCCTCTGGATTATAATATCCATATATCGCCCAATCACCTTTTTCACCCATTTTACGTTGAAAAACAACATATTGAATAATATTTTTGATCTCTTTTGGATCCCCAGAAATTAGCCTTCCCTCTCTATCAAACACTACAATGCACTAACAAGTATATGAGTATTACAAGTAATATTTAAGGTATAAAAACGAATTGTGTATTAAAATTCATGTTCATTGTAAACTCACTTGCTTAGTATGTAATTTGATTATCAATTGAGCCAAACCAGTATCATAATAACGAATACATTGGTATTTGGGATCATCAATTAGTCCATGATATTTCCAATAGTATTTATTTCCATACTCTTCACGTGCTTTTAATTCGAATTTTAATCTCTAATTGCTCAAAGAGAAGTTTGGAAGGATATGATAATGAGAACATTAAAAAAAAAAAAAAAAGTATAATAGTCGTACATATTACGTAATACGTACATAGTACATTTTGTCTAAGACGATAGTTTTCAACGCTTTTAAATCTCCACTAACAATTATACTTCGAATAAATTCATTATATCAAAAGAATCTATAATATCCATCATAGATCAACGAATAAAATCTTACTCGGCAAAATTTTGATTTAGGTCAGTATACATTTTTAAAGCTTTCATTTTGAATTCATCATAATATTTAACACGTTCAAAGAAGCCCATACTTTGAGTTATTTTTATCCAACTAACGAAGAGGATTGCGTTGAATATAACAAAAGAATATAAAATTAATATATGAACCACAAATTATAAGATTACCATGCCCAATTTAAAATACTATATCTAAAATCCTCTCGTAAGACACGGTAAAAATCTTTGGTAAAAATCGACGGACGTTTATTAATTCGACAATACGGATCTTAAATATATTAAAAAAAAGAAACAGTTGAATTTATTTGTCTTGCTCAAATAATGAAAAAGTTATTTACCCAAGATTCCTAGATCAACGTATTGATAGTAAAAACGCATTCGGTGGGGCTGTGTACGACTCAACATAGTCTCTGATTGCTGTTCAATATTTGCTACCTTTTTTTCATTACTCTCGTAATCACGATAAATTTTACAGATAATCATTTGTGAAACGTTTAAATTATTTATTGCCATAATTACACAGGCATTTTTGCAGTAACGTGATGTGGTTTGCTTCTTCTATAGTCACAAATCCATATAATTATTAATTATACCCTCTATATAAGCATAATTGGTTTATAGCAGTGATGTACGTTTTGACTGTTCAAAGGCTTTTTTGGCACTGTTCAACGTCCAAGTGTCTATTAATAAATTTATTTAAAAAATATATAATTATATATTTTTTTTAGATGTTGAACAAAAATTAATATAGGTTATCTTAATAAAATTTTGTGTAATTTTAATTTATTTAATTGTTCAAAATTGTTTAAAGAGTTTAAACTTACTGTCTATAATTGTCTTGTGATAATACTGGCTTATAGTTATTATTACAGTTTTGATTTTTTTAACTACTAAATCAAATTGGTTAAAATTTTTACTTAGTACTGTATAATATAAAAAGTTTTTTAAATAAATTATAAATTGTTTATTAAAATATAAAGCTTAGTTTAAAAATTAAACTAGATTTAAACTTAATTAAAATTTAGTCTAGTCTGGTTTTTAAAAATTTTAAATAAAAAAAAAAAGTAATAAAAATTTGAAAACTTCAACAAATATAAAGATATTTGAAAATAAATAAAAGATTATTTAGAAGAATTAGGCTAAAATAAAATATAAATACAAACTTGTAAACAAAATAAAATAAATCAAAAATCTTAACAAAAGAAAAAAATGATATTTTTTAATAAGTTGAAGAAATATAATTTATTAAAACAAATTTTTCTAATAATCACTTAGACTAATTATTTTTACTCAACTCAAGTTAAAAACTCGGTTCATCTATAGTATAACGTGTACTAATACACTCGATGATCACATCAAATATCACATCATAAATAAGGTTATAGAT